AACTAAATGTTATTTAGTAAGTAAATAAAAGCAACGCTAATCGTGGGCAGAGATTACCACAAGCTAAAATGCATTTCCCGCACTTCCAATTATCATTTCGAATGTCCGACTTCAAGTGGATTTTGGTGGGCAATATGGAATACGTGACCATCAAAGGGTAATCGCTTAAAATAGTTTGGCGGACTTACCTCAGTCTCCAGTTGAATGGCACTGAATATTTCCACGGATTTCCTGGCGGAAGTGGGCCTTTTTCACTGCCGCATAGTTTCGGGCGACAGTTTCCAGCAGCAGGACACTTTTCACAAAGCCTTACGGACACTTTTCTTTAAGCCCCGGTTTCCTTTTCCATATACTCTCCGTTATTCCGTTCTTGTAATTCACTACACTACACAAAACGAGGACATAAAGGGGCTTGATTTAAACAGGGGCAGTACTTGGGAGTGATCAATGGAACTGGCGAAATGGGCAGACAATGATTGGTCATTCGAGATGGCATTGACATTGGCCAGTCATTGTCCAATCCCATAAAGGCACAAAGCAGGAGCCACAAAGGCAGCCCGAAGGACTTCAGAACACAAAACACAAAGTGTACACTATGAATACAAGTGACTAGTTTTTATATCAATAATAGTGAGTGGTGTGCTTGGCAAAAATGTTATAGGAAATAAACCAGAAAGGTGTATATAATTTGCATTCGTTAAAAGTTTCTGCTTTGCGTACATCAAAAGCTTTATCAAAAATAATTGACATTAATATGAAATATAAATGATGTGATTTTTTCTTAATTAAAGTTGTTTACGACTCTTAAAATGTTTTTTTAATAGCACAATTTTTTCGTTTAATATTGTATACACTTTCAGTATGCTCAAGTCTGCGAGTTTGTTTAAATCAGTTTAAGATTTTATTTCTAACACATTTATATGCACTTCTTCTAGCAATGAAATATTTAGGTACATATTTTTGTAAGCTATGCTTATCTGTTTTTTAAACGCACAATCTCGTTTCTTTTTCGCAGTGTACCAATATCAGCCGGCAAAATTGCGAGTGCTATTTTTTCGTTTCGCAGGCAAGCACGCTTCGGTGTGGCCGGCACTCAATTCGCGTGTGGGTGCCCTGCGATGTGCTCCGCTCAGCGTTCAGACTGAGACTGAGTCTGAAAAGGCCTGAAAACGAAACTTTCGACCGCCAGCGAGCGTGTGTGAGAGCAGGCAGCCGGCAGAGCAGTCGGCAGCGCGGTTGGCAGCGGGAGAATGCCAAAATCAAAGTGCTACCGTTTTCCGCCTATGGTAAATACATTTTGGCAGATACTTTTGTCGCTGATACCGATACAGATACTAATGGAGCGCAAAACTCGAAATGCAATTAAAAGCATTGTTTTAAGGCATTCGCATTGGTAGACAACTTTTAAATGCGGAGTAGCAGTTGAAATATAAATCGAAAACTCGACTTCGTAATCAACTAGCGCCACTTTGTTTTTGCTGACCCAATATTGGAATTTCAAATGACTTGCTATCTTAAAAGTCTTGTACGATAAGAAAATTTGTGGAAAGGAAATGAAATTAAATTGAAATTATTATATTTAAGAAATCCAACTGTAGTCATAGTTCAGGAAACACATAACTGAAATTTCTTGCAAGGGTTTTCTTCGAATTTGTGATTCACATTCGGTATGACTAGCAATGTACATGACATCATATCCATTTCATAAGCAATATTTCGTGTATCCTGTGCAATTTTCCGCTGCATGGTGTTGTGACTGCAGGTGCTTAAGGCTTCTGCATTTTCCGACTTTTCCCCGCTGTCGTCTTGGCGGCGACCACTTGGCTATAAATAGGGCCATACGGGGCAACACTTTCGTTTAACTTTGGGGGGGGGAAACTGAACAGGACAGCGGCACAAATTAGTTCCCAAGCGGCTTTAAAAGGTATGTGTGGCAAAGCGACGGGATGCGGAGGAGTCGAAAAATTGATGGGCGGCAAAAAACATAGCGAACATGTGCCCCTGGTCCCACATGTGCTGTGGCAAGTTGGCCGTCTTAATTATTTATACGTAATAAAACTAAGCATAATTTTCCAGCAGCAACTACGCAGCGGCGCCTCATTTGAAATTCTATAAATAAATTGGAAAGCAGTTGATATAGTTGGATAGCAAAGGGCTGGAAAGGCTCGAAACCAAAAAGCCGGATAAACTGAAAACACATTCATACAAGTTGTTGGGCAAAAAAATAGAGAGAGGAAAAGCGCCAAAGAGAGAGAGTGTATGTGTGTGTGTGTCGGCAGCGGCAGAGAGCGCTGCCGACGGCGACTGCGACGCGGGCATACGCGGCGTATGCGTAATTTAGTCAGCCTTATCAGAAAGCCATTGCAAGCAAACTTTATTTTAAAGAGCCGGTCCATATATCGAACTTGCAACGTGTTGTCTCCTGCGGTCCCCTCAGCAACACACCCTTACCCCCTCCCTCTGGGATGGGAGTTTTCCCCCACACACCCCCTCGGCCATTTTCTGCCACAAGAGTCGCTTTGTTTGCACGCCGACTGGCCAAAGCCCGCCAATTGTTTATTCAAGCAGCATCACAGCATCGCAGCATCGCAGAATCGCAGCTCATGTTGGCCATGTGCACTTGAACTGCCTTCGCCGGCATGCCTGTGCATCCATTTGGCCGGCGATGTGTTTGTCTGGATATTTTTTCCCGGCTCCAGAGCCAGAGCCTCCGCCAAAGACACTGAGAGAAATGATCAACCTGCGACATATGGTAATCAATTAAAAAGCATTTGGTACTCTATAAAGGAAATCCTAGTGCAATGATACTAGAAGTTAGTAGTCTAAGTAATTGCATTTTAAAACGTGCATTTATGGCATCAACTGAAAGGTTTTTTGAAGTGATAAATGTATAATCTCTTAAAAAAACACGAAAAAAAATATATTGTTACATAAAATAAAAATAATAGGTCTTTAAATGATGGCCAGACATTTGTCGCTGTGTATAACGCGCTGATTGCAGTTGTTATCGCCGCAGTTTGTTGTTGTCGCCGGGCTTAAGCGCCTCTTAGTGGCAGTGAATCAGTGGCCAAACATGTAATCTGTTTAATGGCCAACTGACCGTGCAGCGGACCAACTGGTCCTTCACGCCCCTGTAGCATTTCAGATTGTCGCGTATACGCACTGTGAGCCGGGCGAAGTATTGGAATTTGCATAGATCTTTCGCCAAATACTTGTGTGCCTTTTTTTGTGCGGCGGCTCTTGTAAATGCCCACCTGTTGCATACCTAGCAAACCGAAGTAGGAAAAAAAACAATAACGAATGGCATTTGGTCATTTGGGGCCAAACAAATAACGTGAGTAATCGTTAAACAAAATAACCGCAGCAAAAAACAAAGTTAGTCTGCCAGTGAGCGTAAACTTGTTCAGCTGCTGATTTGCATAAACCGCTAAAACTGAAGCTGAAACAAATAAACATTAAGCGCATTTCTGAGTAAACCACAATAAATAATAATCATTGCATTTATTACTGGCAAAGCTGATTTTTCAATTAGTCCCGATATCGAACGACTTTTTAAACCCTTAATCTAAATTTTTGATCTTTTCGAGTATTTTATTATGCTGGCGAAACCTGGCTTACAACATTTTTATCGGATCTTTTGATTCGCACTTCTGCCTCGTTTTAGACACCGTTTATAGATAAATTCAGTTCTAGAATAAATGACCCGAAAATTCAATATTCGAACTGAAGCATGCCCAATTTACATAAATAACAAGCTGATTCGCCTTGACTTTAATCATCGAAAGTTAAAGCTTATTTGCATTTAAGCAAACAGATAAGAATCCGCTTGCACAATAGTTTGGCTCTGCTAAACCTACATTTCCGCTTTAAGTCCTGGTCAAGTGAATTCTATAGGGTGGCGCCCAAATTCGATGTTTTTTAACAAAAGAAGACTGGTGTGCTCATATGTATATATTTTTTAACTAAAATCTTTCTAAACGGATTATCACCAATAAAATTTCGACATTTTTTTCTGGGTGTTTCTAAACCTGCTGAACACTTTTAATAACCCAGTTTCTTATATCTTGACCGTTTATAGCGCCATATAAAAACGCCTAATATGTGCTAAAAACGTTGATGCTGCTTATTAGTATCAGACTGGATTCGCATCGGTTGAGATAATACAATTCATTTGCCCTTTTTGAATCAAGTGATAATTTGCATTTTAAGTTTACCTATCAAAAATGTATTGTTTTCATTCACGTTGTGTATATTCAGTATTTGCTTGTTTTAAAATCTCTAGACAATCTAAAGCTAATCAAAATAAAAATGTTGTAAAAGTGTTCTCATTAGTAAATTCGGCTTTCGAGTTCGAGTTTCGAGTTCGCTTATTGTACCTTTGATTTTTCGAATTTCTACAACTTTCTATGACATAGATGGCGCTCGAAATGGGGGAAATTAATATAGGGTTTTGTATAGACTCCCAACCTTTCTAATTTCAAAGGCAAAATAAGTATGCAGCAAAAAAAGTTGGTTTCGAAACTGAAAAGGAAACTAAGTATTTCACTTGCCCCACAGATGGCGCCTAGAAGTGGTTCGAGAATTGGCTAATGAGCTTTCTAACTTGAATAACTTTTGTAGGCGGGCTTATTTATTTCCTTTTAAAATAGGAATTACCGGTGAGCCTTAAACTGTAATAACATGGGGATATCCTTAAAAATGAGAAGGGAAATTTTTAGACAATAAAATATTATTTTGATGAAAATACAATACTTCTCTAGGTAATTAACAAAAACCAAGGAAAATAACGAATTGGTTATTACTTTTATTAAATATGGTATAAAATAAAATAATTTTGCAAATAATACCACAATAACGAAATTCTTGAAATGTTCAACATCATTAGGGTGTTTTGCTTAAAAGGTCAGTGTATTCAAACCTGTTTGAATCTTTCTCTAATAATTTGTATGGCTCAATTGGATCCATTTTGAAATGATGTATACAATTTCGCAGCGATGTTTGTCTTTTTATAAATAATTTTCATTTATTTCTATTTTTATGTATATATATATTCATTTATAATTTCCCTTCTATGCACTATGCAACTACTGGTTCTCTGCCACTACTTAGAGCCTAATTAAACGTGATTATGGTGTCCTTTGAGGTAATAAAGATGCACGCCATCCCAGTTGGGGATGGCTAGTTGGCGTACTTGAGGCCCTCGTAATAGCCGCCGCCCCCATTCAGAGCCGCCAAGTTGGGGGGCGGGCTGGTGGGCGGCAGGTAAACCGGCTTGCGATCAATGGGCGAATGGTCGATCCCATGGCTGCCACCGGACTGCGATGGCGGCGGCGTCATGGACGATGTGCCATGGTTCTGGTGCATGGAGCCGTGGCCCGGATGCTGGCTGGACTGGCTCGAATGGTGCTGATGGTGATGGTGGTGCGCCTGGGCCTGGGCCTGAGCCTGGGCGTGCTGGATGCTGGATAAGCTGGGCAGTTGTTGCAGCGAAATCGAGCGGAGGCCTGCGGAGTGGATGCGAATTGAGGGGCAAAACCGATTAAACTGGCAGTTCTCGTTTTATGGACAAGCGCTAAAATTCACACTGCGCCGCGACGTCGGCGGCAACTATAAAAACACAAAAAAAGGAGTCGATCGAGTGCGGCATAGATTACCATATGTCGGTGCTGAACAGGCCCCGCCCCCCGCCCCTCGGCCTTCGTAATTCGAGATGTGAACCGTCAGCAATTAAATTACCCTGATTGACGCGAACACCCAGGAACATTGCGATCCCCCTTCAAGTGGACGCACTGCGAGAAATTCTAGGCATACTACTTGGAATTTAAAAAATATCAACTTGATTTTTCCCATGCTTTGTACTACCATTTTGCACCTTTGGAAAATTCCCAAAATATTTTGATTAATGGAAATATTACTATAAATATTCAGCAAGCATTTATACCAAGTTTTCCCCTACTAACTTTATTCTATAAATTATTTCCTTGCCTTCCCCAAGATGTATTCACTCCGAACCCGCGTTTTGTGTGTTTTGCAAGGAACCTATAGTTTCTCGCCGTGTAGCGCGACCCTCGTCGCTTTCTGGGGCTGCTCACTTACCGTTGTCCAGGCTGCCGGCACTTGTTACATAGGAATAGCCCGCGGCCACGAGACTCGCGTTCGGCGCATAGTCGCTTTGAAGCGTCGCCGCCGCTCCCAGGGGCGAACTGGAGGTTGGGGCCGCTGATGGGGCCATGCCCAGGGTGGAGTGGGCCAGCGGGGGCGTGGTGGCCGTGCCATTCAGATTGCCACCGGCTGCCAGGCAGGATATGTTCGTGTACTGGGGCAGCGGGCTCACGCCCACACCCATGCCCACGCCCATGCCCACCGACGAGGCGCCACTGTGGGCGGCATGGGCGTTCCAGGGATCGCCGAATCCTTGACCGCCAGCCGGCGACACGCCATTCGCTCCAGCCGCACTGTAATCGTAGCTGGCGAAGGCGGGCGAGGCGTAATAGTTGCCGTTGTCCTGGTGGCAAAAGTGGGATGGTATAGAATTTGTAAGATAATTTAATCCATCGATTGAGCTTACCATGCCCGCATCGCCGTAGCTGCCGGCGTAGTAGCCATTGGCATGGCCGGCATACGGCTTCACCTTGATCTTGGAGCGGTAGCCGCGCGGCCGGCGCCGCAGGCTGCCCTCATCCTCGAAGAGATGCGCCGAGTTCTCGTCGATGGTCCAGTAGTTGCCCTTGCCCGGCTTGCCCACGCCCATGCCCTTTGGCAGCTTCTTGAAGCACTCGTTCAGGCTGAGATTGTGGCGCACCGAGTTCTTCCAGCCCACATAGGGTCCTCGAAAGAATTCGTAGCTGCAACGATACATATGATGTTACAACTGCTTCTTTAGCACCTACAGAATGGCGTATACTTAATATCGAGAATGGGGGATGGTATTTGCCTTTGTCTTGGTGCTAAAAGCAAGCGACTTTTGACGAAAATTGACAATCAAGCGTTTATTTATTTTACTGAGCCTGCGAAACTCAATTAAATTTTTTTGGTCGAATGGGGGGGATCAGAGTGCGGTGTCAAGCAAATAAACGATGTCAGCTTAAAAGCCTCTCACGCATTTGGAATCGCCTCCTTCTCCCCGACTCTGCCCCTTTGAAGCTCAAGTGGATTGGATCTCCGTCTCGTCGCCGAAATCGAAATCGAAATCCAAACAAGCGTCGCGAAATATGAGATATTCTGAAGGATGCGCATGCGGCAAGTCGAGTTGGCTAAATAGAATCGGATGCCCATAAATAAGGCCGAGCGACACATTTTTGTTGCAGCCCGACACGGCTCGCAATCGCTGGTATTAATATCCGTTTATGCCGGAGTGTCGATATCGCCAATTGGCTCCGTCTGAGATGCCGCCACCATTCTCCAAAACGGGCTAGTCGATTCGATTCGATTTTAAGGAAAGATTTTAGGCAATCTTAAAGCATGTGTAATGGATTCTACAACTGTAATAGTTAGTTTTCATAGCTAATCATGCCTTTTTATAATATAAGATTTTAGTTTGAAATATTTATGTATACATAATTATGTATAATCGGCTTTCCTTCTTCGATGGAACATATACTAACTTTTGCATTACTATTACACATAACTACACATAATCAACGTTGTAACTTCACTGATGGGAATTTTTATTGGAATTCTGCGCTCCTTATTTCAAATATCTTTTAGACTCAATTTTGCAGTGACCTTTTCTTAATTTTATATGTTTAAAAGACTCAATATTGCAGTGACCTCTTTCTACTTTATAAGTTTAATAGACTCTAATTTGAAGTTACTTTTACTATTTTACTTATTTAATGACCTCAATTTTTAAGTGACATTTTCACTATTTTACTCAGATTATGGACTTAATTTTCAAGTTACTTTATCACTATTTTAGCTATTTTTTTTAAATGGACTTCATTTTGCAGTGAGCTTCTCAGTGTTATACATAGTAAATAGCCTAAGTTTGTATTTTCCCTATTTTACACATTTAATAGCAGTGATTTGGCAGTGATCTCATTCCCAATCCATGGCTGATAATAGTTACCTCTTCTGCAAGTAGGCGTAGATCTCGGAGAGCGTCAGTTTCCCAGTGGGCGACTCCTTGATCGCATGTCCGATCATATTGATGTAGCTGAGGGCTGGTTTCTCGGGCCGCCGCGTGCCAGACTTCTTGGTGGTATCCGGAGTGCTCGGCGCATCCTGGCTGCTGGCAGCACCAGTGCCACCGCCCGCTGAACCCGAGCCCTTGATCTCCAGGGGATTCTGGCTGGGTGGCGAGGCCTCCGATCCGTTGAGCGACTTGGCGGGCGAGGAACTGGCACTGGAGTAGTTGAGCACGGGCATGCCGTGCGCATTGCTGATCACCTGCGAGGGCGATGTGGAGATCCGGGGCAGATAGGCGCCGCCTGGTGAGTGCTGCAGCTGCTGGGACTGCACCTGCTGCGCCGGCTGCTGCTGCTCCACCTGGTCCTGGCTGGTCAGCAATTGGTAGTCATTCGCACTGAGTATGGTGTTGTTGGAGCAGTACTTAATGGTGGAGGCGTACTGATGGTTCAGCGGCTGCAGCTGCACCTGCAACGGCTGCCCCTTGCCCGCTGTGCTGGAGCTCACGTACTGCAGATCCTGCGGCAGATCCGTGGGCGTCTTCGAGTTCGATTGCGGGGACGCGGATCCGGCCGAATGGGCGGTCATCAGTACCCCGTACGGGGGTATGGGACTCGAGGAGGCCGGCGGGGTGCCCATGCTGTGCAGGGCACTTAGGCTATAGTGCTGGGCGGCCGAAACGGGCGTGGCAGTGGGCGTTGAGTCCATGTAATGCTTCAGCTCCATGTAGCCGATGTTCGGCTTTTCATCGATCAACTCCGTGGGGGATTCTCCGCCACCCATGGCCTGGTAATTGCCACCGGTCAATAGATTTCCCGCTCTATATAGATGCCCCGCATGTGTGTGGGTGTGGGTGTGGTTGTGCGCGTGTGTGTGTGCGTGTGTGTGCGCATGCGGGTGGCTGAAGGGGGGGTGGGCGCGGTGATCGTGGTAGTAGCCACCCAGCTGATCCATCGTCATAACCGAGCGATCTGAGACCTCTTCACTCTTGATCATTTTCACTGGGCTCTTCGTTTTCAACACAACGCGGTTCGAAAATATTTTACAAATACTTGATTTTTTATAAATATTTCTCCTTTGAAATAATTTGCACGAAATCCATACGAAATTACGCGCAATTCTGTGCCGGCGGAGTCCCTTTCTATTTATTTCTATAACCACTGGAAGACCGCACCGCTTGGCTATTCTCACTCGACTGAAACTGAAGGCAGATCGCTCCTGGAACCACGAACCCATTCGATGCGATTCACTTGAGTTGCCATCGGCTGGAATTCTTTTTTTAGTACGCCCACGCCTTACGCAAATCGCTCGATTCTCTCAATCTTTCTCTTTCGGATTGCCCATGTGTACATACATATATGTTTTGGGCCGTGCTCTTTCTTTTCACGCCGCCAATTGGCTCGTTTTCCCAGGGTTTTCCTCTCCGAGAAAACGCAAAAGATATACATATGTGGTATTCAGGTCTCTGACTTGGGGACTGCGGTTACTGGAGTACGTTTGGATGGCGAAACTTCGGTATGCCAGGTATCCGGGTAAGTCGAGATCCCCTTTACTTGGTATCAGGGAAAATTAAATAAGATGCATGCTTAGGTTTCATAAAATTAGTAGTTCCCTCTGGTTGAAGTTCCCTTTATATAGGCTTCAAATATATGCCTTAATAAAAGCATATCTTCATTTTGCCACAAATCAATTTAGCCCCCATTTTGGCAGTTACAATTCGCACTTTGAACTGCCTAAATGGCCAAGATCTATCTATCTATCTATCTATCTATCTATCTATCTATCTATCTATCTATCTATCTATCTATGCTGCAATATTTGGTTCAAAGAATTAAACCCATCCTGCTGCCAAAGATTGCGCACATTGCTGACTCATTAGCGTTATTGTTTCCGATGCGAATTTCGGACTGGGATTGAGTTCCCGCTGGGGAGCGGGGGCTGCCTTGAAACCCCCTCCGGCCAGTCAACAGTTAATAAATAGTCGAAAAACAGAGAAAGATCCTCGAAGATCGAAACCCGCAATTAGCCGCAAATGCATTAACCTATTCGCCGGAAAAAAGGAAGCTGCCGTTGCTGGAGGCGGCGTTCGGATTTCGAAACGAGCTGTTAATTGATTTAGTCGTTGCCTGGCACGGATCCGGACCAAGATCGGGCATGGGAATGGGTATGGACATGGCTATGGGTATGGCTATGGGTATGGGTATGGGTGGGTAGCTGGAGCGGAATGCCGCCGGAGAGCGGACCGTTTAGCAGCACCCCTGAGTGCCGCCATTGCTGTCAGCACTACGCCGACTCGTTGGCAGCAAGACGACCGTGACGGTGATGGAAACATGGCCGTAGAAAGGGGGGCTATCTACCTATCTAGTGAAATAAATATACAAAAATTAAGCTACAATTATGTACATGCATACACATTATTAATATTATTATGCACACTTTATACATATATAAAACAATGATTCAAAATGATAATGTTTAACAAACAACATTTATCAAAAAAGATTTGGTTGAGCACGAAGAAGGGGAGGGTACAAAGCTATAATACATTCAAAATTATAATCAAGACACTTTTGAGAGCTCAAAATGTATCTCGCATTCATTTTCTAAGTTTAAAACGATTAAAATTATTTTAAATCATTTAAAGTTTTATGTTTTTAATCAAATTTATACAGTTTTAATATTCTAAGCTGAAATAGATCTCTTCCTAACTCTAAGTAGCACCAAAACCTTATAAGAGCGTTATAAGACCCCCCTCACTGCGCCACTGAACGGAGACGATGGCGACGCCGCTCTCCATCGCTGCCTCTCGCTCTGGCGCTGTTGCTGGCTCGCTCGCGCCCTCGCTGTCGCCGTGGCAACGATTCAATTCGGTGCTCGGTGCCCCAAAACAAGATACGAGATACACAGGGGCGCGCACAAAGATACAGATACATTCTGTGGAGGGGACACACGGGGGCGGAGTTTTGTTTACATTTCACGAAATTCTATTTGTCGACGGCATCGGGCATTGATTGAGAAAATCTGAGAGAAAATTCCGCTCGCTAGGTTACTTTTTTTCATTTGTTATTTTTTATTTTCTGGCTGTCTTGCGGACGCGGCCTGAAAGATATTTTAATTCCATCCGCCACTTTTCTTTCCCGTCCGCGCATATCAAGCCACTCGCCATTTTCTGCGAATTTTCGCAGAACTGCCCATTCGGGTTTTCCGAATTCCGCCGTCTTTAGTAATTTCCAATCGGCCAAACAGATATTTTCTTCACTTTTGGCCATTTTTCATGCGGCTTTTGCGGTTTGGAGGCCATAAATTAATTTTACTTTTGATTATTATTACTTCTTCTTAATCGTTTTTGCTTTTTTTTTCGTTTTGCATGCTGTTTTTGTTTTGTGCAGACTCAGGAATTTTTCAGCGAGTGAGGAATAAATTAAGCAGGCCCCACGAATAGCTCACAGACCCTGAAATGGCGGCAAATTAATTAATTGCTTTGTTTGGCGATGGATTCCCAGAATCGCAAACGTTATGTACGACTATGCATGTCGTTAGTTTACAAAATGCAGAAATCCTCAATGATTTATTGCAGTTTTATGGGGTTAATGAAATGTGGCCAAATAGCTGATAATAATGTTTTCATTTCATTTGTTGGTTGTTTTTGAAATGTGCACTAAAATTATTTCAACCTAACTCTTAGGGTAGCAAAGCATTAATTTCAAAATATGTTTTCAAATAAATCTACCACACATATGCGTGTTCTTCAGCATCCCATAGATGATTTACATTTTCCCTCCACAAATCGATTTTTGTATGCGAGACTACATTTACTGCCCACAGAATATTTACTGAAAAATTGATCAAAGATTCGTAGGCATTAGGCATACATTTGACAGTTGCCGTTGCAGGAAAATGTTTGCCAAGAAATTCGGAAAATGCCTTTCGCTGCGAAGATTTTTTTTTGCATTTCCCGGCACGACATTTTGTATTTATGGCCGACTATTAATAGCCAGTGTCCGAGCAAAATGCACCGACCACCCAGTGAGCAGATGCGTCATGCGCATCCTAACTGGGCCAACAGCTTATCCTGGCCATCTTGACTTGGTCAATGGCCTTTGTGGGAGCGAGCTCTTCTTGTGGTCATAACACAGATTCATAAACACTGGCAAGGGAATTCCCAAACAAAAGTCGTCATCAGTGCGATCCACATTGTTGTTCCAGTTTTCAAGTTCAGATAATCATAATAAAGATAAGTTGGCATAGACGAAAGGCGTGCTTCTTGTTTTGCTTTTAATTTTAATGTTAATGTTATTAAATGGCCGAAAATTGTTTACTATTATGGGTGTTTGTAAACAAAATTATGTATACGACGCGTTGAGCCGGCTGATCGGCGATCTTCTATCCCAGGAGATCCCATTGATGCTCCTGGATGGGCATCGCAACTCAGAGCATTGTTTAAACTGTAGTTTTAATAAACATTTAACAATTAAACGCTGTACTCTAAACACAACACAATCGAACCACCAGCACCACCGCACCAACTTTTGTATACAAGAAGAAGCCGCATTCGGATTTTTGTTTTTGCACACTGACCTACAACAACTGGTGAAAGCAAACAATTGCACCTAAGCCAAATCCTCCTGGCTTATTAAACAGTCCACCAATAAATAATCAAATGGAATCAGGCTGCTAGAGGATAGAGGATAGGGAAAAGTCGAATGAATTTTCAAAATATTTACATAGAGTTTTCCAACCGAAAATTATGCCGTCTAGTTAAACTCCTCGGCCCCTCGACCAATTTTCAGTTGGCCAAGACTTTGTTCAAATATTTACATTCTGTTCCGTGTGCAATTTGTTGCCTAAATCCGTGAATGCGATCTGATTCAGTTTTTGTTTATCACCATCTTGATTAGGATCACGTGTTGTGGCCAAAAACCAAAATCAAATACACAAACAGCGCGTTATTTGCTCTTATTTTTTTGTTGTATTTTAACCAGCCAGCATTTAAGTTGTTATTGTTCTTTCCCACGACTGCAATTATGTGTTTGTAAATATTTATGAGTTTCCACGTTTTATTTCCCATTAAATGCGAGCATTTCGCTCTAAGTGGGTGCGATCTTGTTTGGGCCAATGTGGTTGACAAACTTGAGTGGCATAAACACACTGCCACGATTGCCCAAAGTTCAAAAAGGTTCGCTCAAAGGAGCGAATAGCCATGTAATTGCAGCGATGTGTAAATAGGAAGGGAAATTAGCACGGGAAACTAAACAGAAACGTTGGCCAAAAAATATTATGGCCAAAAGCAAGCGGAAACGGAAATTGTTGAATATGTTCAGAGAAGCAACAGAAGAACCATAAGAAATATTAAGAAAAACCCTAAAATATGAAATAGTAATGTGTATAACAGATATTGGAAATTAATAAAACATTTTAAGTTATTTTCATTTACTTTCAATTACGCACACCGCGTGGCATTAGTTTCGCTAAACGAAAATGGAAAATTCCTTTGTACTTTCAGCCGAAGCCAGTGCTTTTTGGATCTTTTTGGATCCCGCCTCCTGTTGTGACCAACGATTGCCACACTTTGGCACTTCAGTTGGCCATAAACACCTTGGCCGCTGTGAAAACGTGTGTGCATAAATGTGTATGAATTCAAGATGGGCGCCTTGCCCGCCTTGCGCAAGATGGCCAAGAAGCGGCTTCTTGGCTTCCATCCCATCGATGCCATTGCCAAACTATGCAAACTATGGACGGACGCCGTAAAAGTTCAGAGACGCCTCCGAAAATCGCCTCCTTCTCACATTTGCCGCTTTGCGCCATTCGACTGTCGAAGCTGGCGCAATAAAATCGAACAATTTATAGACTGGCGATCCATTTGGTGCGCAATAATTGCGCCAAATGTACAAAAATTAAGACAAAGAGCAGAAAAAAGGCAACGAGACGTGGGGAGAATTCTACAAATTCTACAAGTTACGCAAAAAGAAAAGAAGAGAAAGAAAAGCACTTCGGATGCCCGAAAAACCGATCGCATCCGATTGTACACTTGGGCTGCTGTTGTTTGGCTTTTAGTTTAATGGCCGGTACTTAAAATGCGTTGACTCACAGAACAGGAAACTGAAATTGAAATTAAAAATTGAAATTGAGCATCTGAGCGCAGCGATTTACTCGCTTTTCATCGGCCGATCGATCGATCGAATCCGCAACGTTGGCAGTAATTAATCTTCCCGCTTGAGCACCCTTGCCAAAATGGCTGATCTACAGTCTTCAGCTCGTTCCAACCCAGCAAGCCCAATCGATGATCCCGATCTGGGGTTTTGTATCTTGTATCTTGTATCTGAAGATCGCCTCCATGGGCTGGCATCTGTTTCGTTTCATTTGACGCCCATTGTCGTCAATGGTCCTCCGCTCCGCTCCAGTCTTCTCCGCCCACCAATTCTTCCGTGTCGTTCGCTTTGTTCTTCCAGGGCTTTGTAGACGCGTTTTTTACGAATCTCCGCCACTTTGGCCTTCGAGGGCAGCGCACCTGTGGGTTTAAAAATACACGGATATGTGGGAAAAAGTTCGCTTGCTCAGCATTGAAATGTCATGGCGCCTGACAGTCGAATGCTGAAACTATTTGCTTAAATGCTCTGCGTGTTCCGAAGGCTACTTCAGCGTACGAAATACCCGAGGTCATCTAGTCTACACTTTCTCTGCAAGGCTCTACCCTTTCGTACAATAAATCAAACCCAGCATTTTCCTGACAAGCTATCAGCGCAGATCATTAGTGAGCAGTCGAACCAGTTTAAAACCCCCAACTAAGATCATGTTCAAGTGGTTCAAAAATATTGGAAAATTCTTCTTTTTCTCATTTTAATCAACGGCGACATCCCGACGCAGCAGTCGCCTAATTATCCGCACCATAAATCGAACCAATTGAGGCGCTGACGACAAATATTTTGACGTGGCGCCGCCACGACGATTTCCTCGATTTTTACCCGCTTTTCCAGCTCCCTTTACCCTGCGGAAAACCGAGGTTCGTGGCAACTGTGTGGTCGGCACTTGAGTTCGATTTTGAAAGCGGTAGCCACGGGGAACTGAAAACTCTTGGCCTGTAATTGCAACCGAAACCGAAACCGAAACCCAAAACAAAAAAATGCAAGCCAAGCAATTGAGTTCGTCCATGTGTAACTTCAATAATCGATTTGTACCCACATGCAGCGTAAAATGCAGTACAATTTGAGCAGGACTTCATATTTAAGTTGTGTAGGATCGAAGTAGCTTTTGAATCTAACGCACTCAACTTGGACAACTTGGACTTACATTACCGAAATTCCAGTTAGACATTTAGTGTGTAAATACAATCCCGGTAGAAAATGTTCAAAATTCGCAATTTCACGCTCCTGAAACTGAGTGAAGGCGTATTTGGCCAACGACTAATGGCTAAATCGGCGAAAACAGGCGATTCGGGCAAGGATTCTTGTAAGGGCGGCGAGTCCAAAGAGGGGAAAAGCAAGAAGAAGCCCAAGACGGATATCTGTGGCAGAAGTGGGTAAGCTACCACTACAAAAGTAGCCGGCTAATCCCTGCGTCTTTCACAAAGCTCTAACTCCCACTTCGCCACGCTGCAAAAACAAGCCCGGCGAAAAGTCCAAATCGTCCAAAGATGAGTGCAAGAAGTAGCAGACTTTATGACTTCATTCAGTTCAACCAGTTAACAAATTCGAAGCAGGCGCTGCAAATACTTTCGAGCTGCCTGGGCGGAAATAAAATTCAAAGTTCAAAAAGATGTCCCGACTTTTGCTGCAGTGCCGCAGAACTCTGCTGATCCTTCGCCGTCAAACAGCGGTGGACAATGAACAAGGACTCTTCGGCAAGCTGCTGGAAAAGTGCCAGTCCTTCGGCAAGGCGGAGAAGGAGGCTGACCAGGAGAAGGAGGAATCCAAGAGGTCTTAGGTACGACTATTAGTTGCTGCAAACATATTTATTATCCTGTGCTCCCTGCGCCAGAAGCCAACCCTTCGCACTGAAGATCATATAATACCATATTGTTGCCGGGGGCCCAAGATGAATCGGGTCCATTTTACGGGCAGCTCATAAAACGGAACGTGCGCAGACATTATAAAGCCATAAAGCATCAACTAAAATCGGGCAAAAATAGCTTTCGGATGGAACAGGCGTTGCCCAGACTTAGCCAAGTGATATAACATCATTTACACAGACAATGGACGTTGGTTTACGATGTCTAAGATGCCAGGCGTTGAATTTGGCGGCGGAGTGAGGTGAAGTGAAGAGAAGGCCAAGTTGACCAGCGGAACGCATCAAAATTTTACGCGAACTCAATTGTTAGATAAAAGCAATCGTTTACCCACTGAATCATGGGCATCTTTATTTCGGTGGGAAACTGCACAGTATCAGTTGGCGGGTGCTTAAAAGCTCCCACGTAGCTGCCACCAACCGTAGTTGCACTCGTCGAACTGCGATTTTCCCATTTTCCGATCGCCAGAGATGCATGACAAAGATGAGCCGGAATCCAGAAGCCCGGGGAAGCAATGAATCCCAAACATCCGAGCGTGGGCGGATACTAATGGGCCGGTTTCTTGGGTTCTTCCCATTTTTATGGCAATTCAATTGCATCGCCAGCGACTTTTGCTTCCTGCCGCGTACCGACTTTCCCCTTTTGCTCCACAGGCAGGTTGCAACCGTATGGCCATGTAAGATCTATATTTTCGGGTTTTCCTTTGCAGACTGTAAACAATGGAAATATATATATAACACCCGACATAGTCACACTTGTCGGTTCAATAGTTGGAATACCTATTTTCCCCAGCTCAATTCATTTATTTTTATATTTTCTGTTGCCTTGGGTGCGATTGATCGCATGAATCGCTGTAATATATGTTGCCCTGTATTTTTTCGATGTGTTTTTTGGGGTAATTATTACTTTGGCGCAGTGTAAACAAATCGATGCGGCTTATTTTAGTCGAAGAGATTATTCGCTCTGTTTAAACGAATCGCGGCCTCATTTCCTTGGCGAATCGGCGGAATTTATTGAATAATTGGGGTTACTCGGGTTCTGTGGTATCTTTCATGTTAGCTTGGCTAGGGAAATGTGTATGTATGAGACACAAATCCAATCTATTAGTCAATTGATGGATGGGAACTATTGGCGGCGATTTCCATTTCATATATTAGGCAAAACATACATACTACAGTTAAACTAGCATTTCCAAACTGCATACCACTTTTCCGATCGATTCATTTTCCCCACTTGTCGTTTTCCAGACGACTTCAATACCCTTTAAACGCCTCGCGTCTGCTGACTGCAACTTCACTTGACTGCGACTGCAGATTGAAGGGGTGATTTGGTGGAAAGCGGCGGCTTTTCCCGCCTGTCTGTTCCACCTTTCAACGGCCAGCGAAAGATTTCGTCCGAAACTACATTTTCCAGCCTCAGGAATTATCGGGCAAATTAATCTTTTCAATCTTGAGTTTGCCCAGTGCTGCAACACATGTGCCAAACGCAGCACGCACACACTGACAGAAATAATAGGTCCTTCGACAGGGATTTCAAAAAATGTAAGTGCAAATTACTGGCTAGATTTTGCTAGTTATGATTTTGACACTTATAAAGCCAGTAATTTTAACTTTTAAATATTTCTAAAATACCTTTACATTTACAGCCTATTGATTGTTTGTATACAATCATAAGTGTGTAAAATATTTAATCTACCACCTTAAGCCGAATTTCATATCAATCACAACTGAAGCGCGCACTATTTTCTCCCAGTGCATGGTCTGTGTGGGCTGGCTAACGGTATATCTATTTCAAGGCCTTGCCCATCCTTGTAAATGCTCCTCCCCCTCTCCTTCCTCCTTCCAGCCGCCGTTTTCCAGGCAGCTTGTTGTCTTTGGTTCTTCCCCTACTCCTTCGCCTTCTTCGTCTGCTTCTTCCTCGTTTTCCCGATGGCGATTGAAGTTTTGGATGAAATGATGCCGACATTCGTCAAATTTGTTGGCATCAGCAAACAGTTTGGGATTCCAATTCCGAATCCGACTGCAACAACAACACTGCCAGCTACAACAATAGCAACAACAACAACAACAGCAATGTTGCAGCGTGCGCCGCGTTCGCAGTCAGCGCGTGCGACAGAGATGGGTAGTGGGACCACCCACAGTGCCCGGTTTGCTGCCTCTCGCTCGCACGCGCGCGGATAACCACAGAAATCCATATTTCTCTAGCTTGTGCTTTTTACGATAAATTACAGAGGTTGCAGGCTGTTCGGTAGCACAAATGATCATTCATTCATGATCCCCCTTCTTGCCACTACCAGCCCCTCCCCTCCCCCGCCACACCCCTTGCTCATCCCTCGACAAATGCCGCACGTTGCGTGTAAACATGTGTAAATCATGACCCGTTGATGGCCTTTATTTTCATGGCAGTGCGTGGAGGGAGGGGGGAGTGCGGGAGTGAGGGGTGGGGGCCACATGTGACGTCCTCCTTGGCGGCAAAACTTTTGCACTGCGACCCCATCCTCATCCGCATCCGCATCCTCGTCTTCCAGCATCTTTGCATCTTTTTGTTTAGATAAATCACGAAATAGTTGCCTCTAATATCATCGATTTGGGGAAAACAGAGGAGATTCAATTACGTGAATGTTGCTAATGGAATATAGTTTGTATTATCTTAACATTACTGTATTATAAAAAAGTATTATTACTTATGCATGCTTGGTTAAAAATAAGTTTTAAAATATGAGTACAAAATATAGTTTTTGCGTAGTTTACTTATAGAGTTTATCGAAAGCTTCTGCGCTACATCGTAACTTTAAATGATTTGAAACATTGCTGGTTGGCGCCCATGGAGCTCCACTGTACCTGCACCGCATGCAACTGCAGACATTTGGAACTCGATTCGAGACTGGAATTGTCCCAAAAGGCAAATATTATTTATGCCAGGGCCCTGAGAACTTTTTCTCCAGCGGCCTGCGTGCATATTGCGATGGATGAAGGGAGGGGGGAAGTGGGGGAAAGCCGATCGGCTGCATTTCAGAACAACATCATATTTTCGGCAATGTTTGTTTACACTTAAGGCGCTGTAGCAACAAACTGAAATGCAAGAGGCAAAGGGCAAGTTGGGCATAATGCATGTTTGGGCTGATGAGTGAACGGATGAAGCAAGATCGTATAAATGGCATTCAGGAACTTAAACGTACAAAATTGTGACTAATGCAATTAATTTGAAATTGCCGCCCGCGAGTGACGTCACAGTTGCCTCAGGGAATATGCTAGCTGAGTCGCACACCCCGCCTGTGCTGCCACACTGCTCGAAGCAGAGTTACACACCCGGCAGCGTGGCCACTTGAGCGATCGTGCTGAATGCACTAACGCCAGCGGGCAATCGATCTGTGAGCTTCAGACAACGGTCACACCAATCCGACGCGAAGTGAATCATATTGCGCACAGCAAAATCAGCGGATAAGCGAATTTAAGCGACAAAGGAATATTAAATCGGCTCTGCCGCTGCAGCAACAAGCGTGAATAACAGCAATGCAATCGGGCTAATATCTAAAAACGCCCAAAAACGTTTCGAGCCTGTGCGTGTGTGTGTGCGTGCGTGCCTGCGCATGTGTGGTGTGTTCGTGTGAAAGGAAGAGAGGTGGAAACGCACACAAAAAAAAAACGAAAAGAAAAAGTGTACAGCCGACGACGACGCGCAGACGCATCTCGAAATTGGTGGAAAAATCGCGAGTGTAAGAGTGCGAAAAGTAAATCGCGGCAAAAAGTAAAAAAGTAAATTGCGATCGCAGAGCGCTAAAGACACACAGCGAATATGGGTTGTGCCGTGAGTACAGCACGCGATAAGGAGGCCATCGAGCGGTCCAAGAACATCGATCGCGTCTTGCGGGCGGAGGGCGAAAGGGCCGCCTCGGAGGTGAAACTGCTGCTGCTGGGTGCGTCCGTCTTCCATTTCACCTTCTCACCTCACCACCTCTCTAGTATTCCGGTATTTCCCCCCTTTCGCGAATTGCCGCCTTGTTTGTCGAGAGAAATGTGCTGAAATTCGCGTTCTGACCTCATTTTTCGGTCGCTTTTGCTTGGGCGGGGTGGATTTCCGCTGGGTTCCGTTTCTTTGCTTACCCTCTCCTCGCCTTTTCTTTCCATTTCGGCTGTGGTGGGTTTGGGCAAGGATTATTGCCGGCTTTTCCAGTGGGAAATCCCAATGCTGGAAGGCCTGGAAACAAATAATACAGCAGAGCCATTAGTCATACTTAAATAAATATATTACTTTATTTGCGCTTCATATACTAAAGTTAATTAACAATTATTTGTGCTTGGCACTAGAAAAGTAATCATTTATTTCAATTTAAATGTTTATATATATCAATTACTAAACTTAATATTATTTTAGACAACACAACTTATGCTAGATAAGAGTGTACTACAAAGATTTATGGAATGGAGTAATGGGACTCCGAACAGCTCTGTTTATCTGGGAAAAGCAATGTTTATAAGGCTGGCTCGGGCTAAACAAATCCGTTCGTATGTATGCGTGTAGATCGTGCATTATGCAATGTCTGCGTCCAATAATTCGTTGGCGATAAGGGAATTGAACGTAAATTGAAACCAAATGTTGGTTTGTCTGTAGATTCTCTATTCTCAATTCTCCGTACTCGGTACTCGAGCTTTTCAGATCTTTTGGATCGATCCAACAAGTGGATCGAATCGCCGCAATGGAAACATGTTTGTTGATATGCAGTTGGTGGTGCCGACAGTGCAGCGGTTTTTACTTTGCCGGAAAAACCATTCAAGCGACGAGGCGCCATCGTATCGCTTATACATGAACTCGAACATACTTATATGGTACATACTCGTATATACATATGTACAGACATGGTTTATGGTGACCCGACCTCTGCGGCAAATGCAGTGAAACTGAATGCCTCGCCGCGATGCAACCTTCTGCAATTAAATTTCCACCGAGCGATTTAAATGCACGGCATATGGGAACGATAATATTTCACCGTCTGCGTGTGTACTTTTCATTTCATTGCCATTCACTTGCGAAAAACAATGCAGTTCAGCTTTTCCTCCAGCTGATTTGCCAATGAAGCGGTCCAAGGTGCCTAAGGCAACAGGTGGCAGGCTGAAAAGTACAGCAAGGATTGGTATAATATGTATTATTTCAAGAACACTTCTCACTTCAATGAGTAACAATAATTGATAGATTCAGGTATCTTGCACTAAACGTTACTATGTTAAATGGCTTACTCGAGAAAAATGATACTATAAAAGTTGAAATGATAGTATAAAAGTTTATAATATGTACTGAAAGCAACGATTTTTTAAGAGCCTTTCCTAGTGTAGTTTTCATT